GAATTGATTTTATAATTTGACGAATATATATCTACGCAACTAAATACTAAACACTCTTATTTTCGAATTTTGCTAGCCTTTTCGCGCGCAAATCATCAATGGACAGTTCATTAGCTGAGCTTTTTGAATTAAGATCTTGGTGATGGGTGTTATTTAAATTCTCTGCTCGGTCGGTTGTTTCAGCACTTTTAAGACTTGCTGCAATTGCCATATCTAAGTCACTGTCATAAGAATTATGACCCTTCGAAAGTTGTACAATAGGATCTGGGTGTGATATAGCGTATTCATCAGCTTGGCTTGTTGGAAGTATACCTCTCACCACGAAAATACTGTAACCTTAATAATTTCAACGTTTAATAGTAATTGAATTTATGATACCTCATCAATAATTAATAAGTAATAATTCCCCGCGATCTTGATAGTGATCGAGGGATTTTTGAGCAATAATTTTCTTACCACCAGTTTCCAATTGATTGAGTAGCATTCCTAAATAAATCTGACTAATCCATTCAGGACCATGTAATAGAGAATCCAAATTATACCATCTTGATTTTATTCCGCCGAATCTACGAAGAGTAAACCTTAAATTTATTTATAAAAAAATGCCAAAATTAGGCATATAGGAGCTATCAATATAAATGAGATATTAAGGCTTCCTAATCTGGTGACGATTAATAGAGATAAAAGGATATCAAGTTTTTTACCAGTGTTCGCGAAGATTGCATATATAAGCTTCTTCTTCCCTAAATTAAAGAACGTAAAGTATTGCACATTCTAACCGTATTACGAATAGATAGGAAAACAAGCATTTGTTTTAAATACTCTGGAATCTTCTTTGAAGCACGGCTTTCTTCCGAACCAATTGGTACAAGTTCTGTAGATTGTTATTTATTTATTGGTAAACAGATTGAATTGGTATAAATTAAGCTCAATATTTTTTAACTTACCGAGGCCCCACACCTTCAATGCATGACTCAATACCTACGACGGATAAAAAAAAATAATAATAAATTTTGCACATATATTATGATACGACCTTTGGATTTGTGAATGTTAATTAATATTTTAATACAATGCCTCATAGGAATCATGAATACCTACTTGTACTGAAAAGAATCCTTCAAAAAATTGAAAGAATATCGTTTAGAACAAGAATGAAATCGGTGAAATATAAAGTTGAATGTGATAGCTATAAATTTACCAGAATCATCCATGTTTTGACTCTTTTGTGTCGATACATTTTCCCTTAACAATTCGGTTGGTATCTGTTCGTTCCCCTCTTGTAGGGCAGCCTGTTCAGCCTGATCCAAGTTTTTAGCGATTTCGCTCAATTCGACTGCTGTAAAGTATTCTCCTGTTGAACGAATAAATCCTAAATCAGGAAAGTTACTTAGAAA